ACCCCCCACCCCACTCACCCCAAATCGACACAAGTCGTAGTATTAAGGAGGTGGCCTTCCACCTTGCTTGTCAGGGTTAACCTGAGCTGAGAAAGTATACAACATCCCAGCAGAAAGACCGAGATGATCGGAAGAAATTCTCCCCACTCAAATATTGAACAAGGGTCAACTGCTTGTGACAGCAAAGTGCCTAACCGCTACACCAGGCAGACGTAGACCAGTTACTTCCCCTGGTGTTGGAACCACAGAATTCTACACTTAAGTGTAGAATTCTGTGGTTGGAACTGACAACCTTGATGAACGACAAAGGCAGAGAACAAAAGTTTCAGCTCAGATCTAGTGATTTGCATAGCTGCCAACTTTTTAACACAAAACAACCAATTCTACCCACAAGGCGTGTCAAGATGGTGGGCATTAACTGAGTGTAAGTGGCCCAACTCTGCACACACACACACACACACACACACACACACACACACACACACACACACACACACACACACACACACACACACACATTTTTTTAACTTCAACATTCATGCTCAATAGCTAACAATGATTAGAGATACAGTTATATAAGACTTACACTTACATGGGCTTCGTTTTCACATAATTAGCAAAATCCGGTCGTGAAAGATCACAACATTTTTTCAGCATTGACAAATATCCGTGAGGAACGATACTACAAAACAGAGCATACATATTTTCTGACACAACAACGGACTCACGTACACAGACCCCCAAAGACGTATCAAACACATTTTTACATCCAGTTGACAGCAATGTGATTGTATGATCTTCACCTGAAGAACTTCAGACATGATAAGTATTGCTTACAATTGTTTTAGAGCTTTGGAGTTTACTATGAAGCAATTTTCTGACAAGCTGTTAAAATGTAGGGAAGGCAACCATGCCCAGAAAGGACATTTTCCCAGGAGAGAGAAATTGTTTGTCTTCAGTTGAACCGGCATTATGTTGTTATTTCCTTCGCCTTTTCACCCAAAAATTTAGAATTCTACCCTGCAATTCATTCGAACAGCTGGCCTGCTTCATACCTTTCATGTTCCTATAGCCTACATTCAAGACTAGATTCCAGTTCTAAACAAAACAAATTTGTCAAGAACAATCTTTGTTTGTTTGTTTCAATTGTTTGTTAGTTTGCTTATTTGTTTGTTTGTTTGTTAGAGTAAAGAGATGCGCATCGACGCAACGAAGGTTATTAGTGCTGTGAAAAAGTAAGACAGACAGACAGACAGATAGAAACAACAGAGGGAAAGTAAAGAAGTAGGACCTACCAGTGGCGCTCTCCAACCACCCACGAGAACAATCTCCGAGAAAAAAGAAACAGAAAAAACCCATTCTATACATTGTATATTATTCGATAGAAACAGTAGATAAAACGTGTAGGTAGGCCTACATTGTAAAACAAGCAGTTGTATAACATATGAGGTGTCAGACCACGATTCCAGGTACAGTATTTCTAGACGTGCCTCTATGAATAAATAACTATTTCAACAAAGTCAAGTAGGTGATCATCAGTAACAGGAGAAATAGAAGTAATGAAAAACATTATTGTATTGCTCAGGACAGAAACAGGTGGGCCTTGGGTGTTGTTAGTTGAGGTATAATACATAATTCAAACAACAACTCTTATTACTCCCGCTCGCTCCACTCACCAACACCCACCCTATCTCACATCTTTTTAAAAAATTACTCACACAACAAGCCTGCCTCAACAGTATTCAGTCTAGTGAGCTGGCATCATAAGAAAAGAAAAAAAAATAATACATGTAATACGTAACATATTTTAACGGGACAAGCGGGCTAA